ACTGACAAATGTTCTTTTATACAGTTTTCTCCTCAGAAAAACTAAGATTAAAGACTGATCTTAATAGATGATTGCCGGAGCTTCCTTTTGTGCCCCGTTGACAAATGTCTTCCTCTAACACCTAAATAATCACAAGCAATACTAAATTGCTCAGCACGCCTCCTCGAGCCAGCCCTCTTATTTCCTAGATCTAAATTGGCAAAGGATAAAAAGTATCTTAAAGGATGATCTGTTTGTGCACCTTAGCTATCCTGCCCGCCCGGGGGAATCCAGTCCTAAGAATGTGCTGAGTGTAAGTGGCTGACCCAGGAGTCTCATTAACCCATCCAGGCGTTTCATCGCTCTAGCATCCTTTAAACATTTTAATGTGTCTTTATCAAGAACAGTCATTAAAAAAAAAGATGATACGTAAGAAAGAGCCACTGGTATAACTCGGGGTAAGCGATCGCAAAGTGGCACAGGCTTGTGGCGATGACACCCCAGATGACACCCCTGTGGGGCCGCCCACCGTGGGGTGGAGGAAAACCGTGCCGGCTGGAGCCCGGGAGGAGTGAGAAGGAAGAAGGGGAGTTTACCTTCCTCGGTGGCCGGCAGGAGGTGGTCGCCGCTGGCGAGTGGGATGCAGAGGTCGTTGTCCTGGGGGAAGCGGTCGCACTCGAGCATGTCCGGCCAGGGGAAGCCGAAGGCGGACATGACAGGGGCGCAGCGATCCTTCACCTGCACGCAGAGCGAGTGGCACGGCTGAATGGTCTCGTCCAGGTCGTCGAGGCAGACGGGGGCGAAAAGCGAGCACAGGAACTTCTTGGTGTCGGGGTGGCACTGCTTCATGACCAGCGGGATCCAGGCGCCCGCCTGCTCCAGCACCTCCTTCATGGTCTCGTGGCCCAGCAGGTTGGGCAGCCGCATGTTCTGGTACTCGATGCCGTGGCACAGCTGCAGGTTGGCCGGGATGGGCTTGCAGTTGCTGCGCTTGTAAGAGAAGTCAGGCTGCCCGAAGAGGAAAAGCCCTCGCGCCGAGCCCAGGCAGCAGTGCGCGGCCAGGGCGAGCAGCAGCAGCGAGCCGGGGCCCCGCGACATGGTGGGCGTGCGACCCCCCGGAGGTGGCGGGAAGGGACCTGCCAAGAGCGGCGGCGGCCGGAGCTCGAGCTCGTCCCGGGCCCGCTCGGTGCGGCTTTGGGGGCCTGGGCTGCAGGAGCACTGGGCGGGCGCGGCTCCGCGTGGCTGCCCGGCGCGCAGCTCTCTGGGGCTCCGACCCCGGGGAGTCGAGCGAGCTGCGGCTGGGGCTCCGCCAGAGTTTCCTTGGCCTTTTTAATGCAAATCTAGAGGTGGGGGGTGGGCGCTGGAAGGGAGGAGCCAGTGGAGGGTAATCCGAGGAGGGTTGGTCACTGCTTGTTGGGTCTGGTTTTGCGTAGAAAATACGTTTCGCGCGCTCCTGGGAAGGACATTGGGGCCCAGCCCTACCTCCCCCCCACCCCCCGCCCGATGCTGGCGCGTGCTCTCCAGGAGTGCTTTAAACAACCCACCAATAAGCGGGGCCTTTGCCACCCCACAAAGAGCGCGCGGGACCGGGGCTGCGGGTTACGGGGCCAGCGCTGGGGCCCTGGCCGGCCCGGGGTGGGTTTGGCTTCGGGGGAGAAACTGTGTCCCTGGGAGCCGCTGGCCGGCAGACCCCGGGCTCGCTCCCGGTCCCCAGCTCGCAGCCTAGGCGGCGTGCTTTCTCTTGCCCCTAAACCAAACCAAAAACCGTTTTTTTTTTTT